CGTGGTCACGAATCGGGAGTGATTAGAGAGCCCGACGGACAATCTCACCTCAGGGCCGGCAAGCCTCGGCAATGCTGCGTCAGACTCGAGCAAAGCAATGAGAGCGTGGCAGGCGGGCTTCTTCTGCCGCCGGTAGGGAGCTGCTGGCCGACAATATGCGCGAAGATAATTGTTAAGAGGGCCCGACGGGCAACCTCGAAGGACGGTAGCGATGGCGCAAGCCGCAGAACACGGGCACGCGAGCATTGCTCGTGGTCACGAATCGGGAGTGAGTAGAGGGCCCGACGGGCAACCTCACTTCAGGGCACGCACGTCTCGGTAATGATACGCCAGACTCGCGCAATTCAAAGACAGCCGGGCGGGCGAGCTTTTTCTTGCACCGGTAGGGAGCTGCAGGCCGACAGTATGCACGATGATCATTGTTAAGAGGGCCCGACGGGCAACCTCGAAGGACGGTAGCGACGGCGCAAGCCGCAGCGCCCTCCATGTCGAGGTCAAATATGAGTCTGCGGTGAGTACCCACTGTGCTAGGCCCCTCAGCAGCCCTCGAAAGTGGCGACAGTTTCGCAGATCGCAGCCCCACACAGGGATGACCAGGTAGGAGGCAAGCTGGCACGCAGCGACGAGCGAGGTACGATGCAGGAGGGGAGAGTAGAGGAGGAGGGGAGAAGGGAGGAGAGCGGAGAGGGGGCGGGAGAAGGAGGAGGAGGAGGAGACGCGACCGCACTGCTCTATTCAAAACGAGAACCCAACAGCCCCCCAGGGATGGCGAGGTCTAATCTGAATCTGCGGTGAGTACCCACTGTGCTGGGCCCCTCAGCAGCCCTCGAAAGTGGCGACAATTCCACAAATCGCAGCCCCCCAGGGATGGCGAGGTCTAATCTGAATCTGCGGTGAGTACCCACTGTGCTGGGCCCCTCAGCAGCCCTCGAAAGTGGCGACAGTTCCACAAATCGCAGCCCCCCAAGGATTGCGAGGTCTAATCTGAGTCTGCGGTGAGTACCCACTGTGCTGGGCCCCTCAGCAGCCCTCGAGCTTCACAGATCGCAGCCCCCCAGGGATGGCGAGGTCTAATCTGCGTCTGCGGTGACTACCCACTGTGCTGGGCCCCTCAGCAGCCCTCGAAAGTGGCGACAATTTCACAGATCGCAGCCCCCCAAGGATGGCGAGGTCTAATCTGAATCTGCGGTGGGTACCCAGTGTGCTGGACCCCTCAGCAGCCCTCGAAAGTGGCGACAGTTTCGCAGATCGCAGCCCCCCAGGGATGGCGAAGTCTAATTTGAGTCTGCGGTGAGTACCCACTGTGCTGGGCTCCTCAGCAGCCCTCGAAAGTGGCGACAGTTCCACAGATCGCAGCCCCCCAAGGATGGCGAGGTCTAATCTGAGTCTGCGGTGAGTACCCACTGTGCTGGGCCCCTCAGCAGCCCTCGAAAGTGGCGACAGCTTCGCAGATCGCAGCCCCGCAGGGATGGCGAGGTCTAATTTGAGTCTGCGGTGAGTACCCACTGTGCTGTGCCCCTCAGCAGCCCTCGAAAGTGGCGACAGTTTCACATATCGCAACCCCCCAGGGATGGCGAGGTCTAAACTGAGTCTGCGGTGAGTACCCACTGTGCTGGACCCCTCACCAGCCCTCGAAAGTGGCGACAGTTTCACGGATCGCAGCCCCCCAGCGATGGCGAGGTCTAATCTGAAGCCCCGTAAGACGTCACTCTGCTCGCCCCACAGCAGTCCTCGAAAGTGGCGAGAGTTTCACAGATCGCAGCCACCCAGGGATGGCGAGGTGGAGGGAAGAGAGGAGCAAGGGAGGAGAGGAGGAGGGAAGATAGGAGAAGGGAAGCAAGAGAGGGGAGAGGAGGAGGGAAGAGAGGTGGAGGGAGGCGGGAGGAAGGAGTGGAGACCGCAGTGCTCTATTCAAAACGAGTACCCAACGCAGGAGGGTTGGGAACAAAAATAAAAAGAAACAATAAGAACTGAAAAGGAAAAAAGAAAAAATCAAACAGAAAAGAAAACAGAGGAGGAGGAGAAAGAGAAGGAAAACTCTCAAGTTCAAATGTATTAGATTTTAGTTACAAGCGCTTTATGAAAATTAAAATTTTTAAGTGCTCGCTCATGTGCTTCATTTTCCATGGATAATCAACCCCAGGGATAAAAAAATTCAGAGGGGGGGGGCATGGAGAGAGAGAGAGAGAGAGAAAGAGAGAGAGAGAGATACATCATAAAGAAAAAGAAAGGAAGGACTTAAAGAGAGAATATATATTTAAAAAGAAAAGTAGAATAATAAATGAAAAGGATAAAGAGAAGAGGAAAGGAGGATAAAACAAACAATCTGAATATTCAAATGTATTAAATTTTATTTACAAGCGCTGTATGAAACTTAAAATGTTTAAGTGCTCGTGTAGGGTAGCTCACGTGCCTCGTTTTCCCTGGATAATCAACTTCAGCGATAAACAAGTTCAGGGCGCCAGGGGGAGGAGGAGGAGAAAGAGATAGAGAGACAGAGAGAGAGAGAGAGACAGAGAGGCCAGGAAGGAGAAAGAGATAGAGAGACAGAGAGAGAGAGAAAGAGAGACAGAGAAAGAAAGAAAGAGAGACAGAAAAAACTACAAAGAGACAGAAGGACATTGGTTTCGCTTGAGACATCCTGAAACAACGTGTTCGCTTCGCTTGATGTTGTTGAAGTAACTTCGATGGCGAACTTTTCCCGTGATAATGAAGTTCGGCCTCCGCGCCCCCGCGCCCCCGACCAAACTCTTATTGGTCGACGATAAAAAACTCTAACGACTGAAGGGGGGGGTAACTTGATTATCATCGGCATCTGGTTAAGAATCCACGAGTGTTCGTGCTTACCCCGGGGCGTCAGGACCCCACGCGTGTTTTCAACGCTTGTCCTGCCCTGGGGCGTTGGGAGCCCACGTGCTGTTCACGCTTGTCCTGCCCTGGGGCGTTGGGAACCCACGTGCTGTTCACGCGTACCCCGCTCGGGGGCGCTAGGAAACCACGTGTGCTCACGCTTGTCCCACTCTGGGGCGGTGGCGGCCCGCGTGTGTGCACGCTTGTCCCGCCCTGTGGCGCCAGGGACGCACGGGCGTCCACGCCTGTCCCGCCCTGGGGCGTTGAGAACCCACGTGTTTTCCTGCCTGTCCCGCCCGGGGGGGGGGGGTAGGAACCCATGTGTTTTCAGGTGTGTGTGTGTGTGTGTGTGTATGGTGTGTGTGTGTGTATGGTGTGTGTGTGTGTGTGTGTGTTCGATGCTAGGCGTTAACAACCCACGTGGTGTCATGCTTGTCCCGCTCTGAGGCGTTAGGACCCTCCGTGTGTTCACGCGTGTCCCGCTCTGGGGCGTTGAGAACCCACGTGATGACACGCTCGTCCCCGCCCTGGGACGTTAGGCACCCGTGCGTTGTCACGCTTGTCCCGCCCTGGGGCGTTAGGCACCCCTGGGTCGTCATGCCTGTCCCGCCCTGGGGTGTTAGGAAGCCACGTGTATTCACGTGTCCAGGCCACCCGGGGGGATATTATTTGACACGCGGTCAGTCGTCTGGGCCAACCAAAGCGGGGGGCACAATAGCAAGAACACATTCAGGAATCGAGGACGGATGCATGATACGTGGAATAAATTATGATGGGGGCCTCCTGGGGGCTTCTGGGACGCCTCCTGGGGCTTTCAGGAGCCGTTCGGAAACCATATAGTTTCGCGTTTGTACCGCTCTGAAGCGTTCGGAACTAACGTGCTTTCACGCGTTTCCCGCCCTGGGGCGTTAGGAACCCATGTAGTTTCATGCGTCAAGGCGTTAGGAACCCCTGTCCCGCTCTGGGGCGTCTAGGACCCACGCTTTCTCACGTGAATTCTGCGCTGGCGGGTTAGGAACCCATGCGGTTTTACGCTTGCCTCGCCCTAGGGTGCTAAGGACCCACGTGTTTACATGCGTGTCCCGCTCTGGAGCGATCGGAACCCACACGGGTCCACGCTTGTCCTGCTCTGGGGCGCTGAGAACCCACGTGTTGTCACGCTTGTCCCGCCCTGGGCCGTTCCGAACGCACGTGTTTTCACGCTTGTCCCCTTCTGAGGCGATAGGAGCCTACACATGTTTTCACGCTTGCCCCGCCCTGGGAAAATAAGAACCCACGTGTTCACATGCTTGTCCCGCTCTGGGGCGTTAGAAACCCACGTGTGTTCACGCTTGTCCCGTTCTTGGGCGTTGAGAACAAATTTGGTTTCACGCTTGTCCTGCTCTGAGACGTTGGAAATCCATGTGTTCTCAAGTTTGTCCCGCTCCGGTGCGTTAGTATCCCATCTGTTGTCACGCTTGTCCCTCCCTGGGGCGTTAGGAACCCACATGTTGTCACACTTACACCGCCCTGGTGCGTTTGGAACCCGCAGGTGTTTTCACGCTTGTCCCGCGCGGGGGCGTTAGGATCCCATGTGTTGTCACGCTTGTCCCTCCCTGGGGCGTTAGGAGCCCACATGTTGTCACGCTTGTCCCGCTCGGGGGCGTTGGGAACGCATGTGGTGTCACGCTTGTCCCGCCCTGGGGGGTTAGGAACACACATGTTTTCACGCTTGTCCCGCTCTGGGGCGTTAGGAACGCATATGTTGTCACGCTTGTCCCGCTCGGGGGCGTTGGGAATGAATGTGGTGTCACGCTCCGAGGGCCACGATCCCTCGCAAATGCCGGTCCGACAGCACTCCCAGAACCACCTGGGCATCGGAGGAGGAGGAGGAGGAGAATGAGGAGATTGAGCAGGCACGCGCGAAACGCACTTATTAAAAACAACATGGGACTTGACCTCTTCTGCATCGGGCGGAAATCCGCCGGCCCTCTTCGAACTTGGCACCGGGGACAGGCTGACCAACTAAACGAGAACCCTGGGCCCCCGCCCTTCCTGGGAAAGAACGGGGCGAATTGCGGTGAAGAGGGTATTCGCCGTAATGGCGGCATCGGGGCAAACAGAATCACGCACTCGAGATCGTCAGCAAAGGCGTCCCGCCCGACTCCCGCCGTAGGGTGTCGATCTGCTCGCGCAGTGACCTCGCCAACGGGATGGCGAGAGAGGCCAAGAGTGTATGCTTTCATTCGCGGCGATGACGGTCGTTATGGGGGTGGGAAGAGGGGGGGGGACGGGGGGGGGCATAACGTAACGCCTCCCCTCCGCAGACTGTGGCGCACTGCGGCAGTGCCGGGGACGCACCGAGGGGGGAGCGATACATCATAGGGGGGGGGAGGGGGGGAGGGGAGGTGATGGGGCACAACGCGCACCATGGCCCCGAGGGGGAAAGAACAAACTGGCTCGGCTCCCGGACTGGGCGGGGGTCGCGAGCCCAGGGGAAAATGGCGGAGCAGAGAAGCCGCTGCCGAGGACAGGTGGGGGATCGGCGCAGCGAGGATGGGCCCGGCCAGGCTGAACAACGCAGCGACTCGCCCGTGGAGAGAAGAAGGCGAAGGCGGACGGAGGGAGGCTGGCGGGTCGAGAAACGAACGGGTTTTTCCTAAGCGTCCTGCGGTGTCGGGTCCTCGTTTTGAAGAGACAGCGCCCTGCGTCTCCTCCTCTCCTCCTCTTCTCCTCCCACTCCTCCTCCCACCCTGGCCGCTGCCCTCTGCGTGGCCACCACTTCCGCCAACCCGGCACGGCGTTTCGTGGCCCCACAGGAAGCTCCACCGAAGACCGCACCGGACGCGGGAGGCTGGCGGGTCGGCAGACGGAAGAATTTTTTTCGCACCATCAACGCAACGAAGGTTATGAACTCCACCCTCGAGCATTGCAGATCAAGACAGCAGGGCTGCGCCGCAGCGTGAGATGGATGGGGGCGAGTGACCGTCGTCGAACCGCACGCCGTCCGCACGCGTCGGCGGATCGAGAAACAGAAGGGGGACCCCGACGTCTGACGTCGTTGCGAGCCTGTCATGTTAGAAGCGCGCAAAACACCAGTAGCCGGAGGCGAGTGCCCTTCTTGATGCATGCCGTCTTTGCTCGATGGCGGAGACAAAGACCCACTTGCCTGCTAGACCCCTCGAGCCAGATCGATCCGCGATGGCCCCTAAGGCACCCGAAGCCCTGGGCATCCTAGCAATTCTGATCGTCGAGATGCCGCGCGCGATGCGGTCCTGCCCTTTCGCCTTAGACATCCTTGCAACTTTGGGCTCCGAGATGTTGCGCAAGAGGTGGCTGAGCGCGTCTCGCCAAAGACATCCTCACAACTCTGCGCTCCGACATTCCGTGAACTAGGCGGTCCAGTGCGTTCCCCCTGAGACATCCTCGAAATTCTGAGCTCCGAGATGTTGCGCGCGAGTTGGTCCAGCGCCCTCGCAACTCTGGTTTTCGAGATGCCGCGCGCGAGGTGGTCTGGCGCGCTTCGCCTGAGACATCCTCGCAGTTCTTGGCTCCGAGATGCTGCGCGCGGGGTGGTCTGGTGCGTCCTTGCAATTCTGATCTCTGAGATGCCGTGCGCGAAGAATTTCAGTCAATGTGGCCTGAGGCCGCGCACGAGGAGGCCCAACCCGTTTCGCTTGACACATCCTCGCAACTCTGGGCTCCGAGATGCCGCTCGCAAAGTGGTCTGGCCTGTTTCGCCTGAAACATCCAAGCTGCCGCGCGCGGGGTGGTCCAGCGCGTTTCGTCCGAGACATCCTCCCACATCAGAGCTCCGAGTTGTCACGCGCGAGGTGGCCTGACGCGTTTCGCTTGGGAAGTCCTCGTAACTCTGGGCTCCGAGATGCCGCGCGCGAGGTGGACAGTCAGGCGCGTTTCGCCTGAGATATCCTCGCAGCTCTGATCTTCGATATTCCGCGCGAGAGGTGGTCCAGCGCGTTTCGCCTGAGACATCCTCGCAACTCTGGTTTTCGAGGTGCCGCGCGCGAGGTGGTCTGGTGCGCTGCGCCTTAAACATCCTGGAACATCGGAGTTTCGAGATGCTGCGAGAGAGGTGCTCTAACCCATTTCACATGAGCCATCCTAACAACTGTGGGCTCTGAAAGGATGTGCGCGAGGTGGTCCTGGCCGTTTCGCCTTAGACATCCTCGTAATCCTTAGCTCCGACATGCTGCGCGCGAGGTGGTGTGGCGCGTTTCGCCTGAGGAATCCTCGAGGAAAGAAGGGTAAGACCCGAACCAGCCATTTGAATCCACTATTGCTGTCGAATTGTGCTCTGAGTGGGGTCTGGGCGCCGCCTGGTACATCCTCGCATGCTGCGCGAGAGGTGGCTTGGTCCGTTTCGCATCAGACATCCTCGTAACTCTGAGCTTTGGGATGCCGCGCGCGGGGTGGTCTGGCCAGCGGCAGGAAAGCGGGGCCCCTTTGCAGAAGGGCCGACGCGCGACGCCAGCAGTCGGCCCCTCCCCAACATCCTCCTCCAGGGCCAGTCTTTCCTCCTGCTGCCTACCGTTGCTGCCTACCGTTGCTCGAAATACCTTTGTTGCTGCTAGTGTTAATGCTGCAGATACCTTTGTTGCTGCTAGCGTTAATACTGCCGGTCCTCCTCCTCTTTCTCTTCCTCCTCCTCCTCCGCCTCCTCCTATTCTGCTCAATTATGTTATTATGGTAAACGCCTGTCTATGCGAGACGCCCCGAACAACAAAACACGGCTAGGCCTCCGCCGCCCTACTTCGAGCGGAACCTGCGGGCAAACCTGTGCCAAAACGAGCTCACACGGATGCCAGCGTCCAGCTCTGTCCCCAAGTCGCGTCTTCGACCCAAGGTTCAAGGGGCAACTCGTCATAATGTATCACCACTCTTCTCCTGGCAACCCTTACCAGTGCCGGACGATCATGCGCGCCAGGCAATCTCTGATGGCTGGCAGTCCATCATTCGCAGTGCTGAACAGCTGGGAAAGATGCCTTGACGGGTCTCCCCTTCTGCCGCTTGAGGGCCTTGGAGGGCGGAGCGCTCGGGCAGGGTCTGCACAACGAATCGACCCCTGCCCAAGTGTAGCCTTCGGTCCGCACTTGGTGCAACACATCACCCATCCAGTCCCCGCCACCCGAGCTCCACCCCCGCCCCAGACTTTGTACATTCTTAAACAGTGGCCCTGCAGAGCCGTCAGAGCCTGCACCCCTTCGAGCACGCGTGCATTCACGCCCTCATCGAGGAAGGACTCCTGAAACATGGAGACAGCCAAGTGGACAAACCCATGACGCGAGCCAATCTTTTGTTTTAGCATTCGGCCCTCATTGTGATACTTGGCGAACCCACGCCGAAACTTGGTTTGACTCCTAGTCTGGACATCGCGGTTCTGATGCCCGCCTTCACCAGGAAACCCAGATGGATCCGACCAACACAACGAGCTTATCAGAACGTCCTGGAAGCCAACCCATTTGAACACATCGACCTGGATGTCTTGAAACTCGCTGATCAGCTCCTGTGTTTTCACCGTGTTTGGGTGCTTGGCCGCGCCCCCCTTCGCATGTCCATCCGCGTCCCTGTTGCCAGCGCGCTCCATGTGCGTGGATTCGCTTTCTAAAAAATTGAAAGGCGCGGCGCGCCCCTGCGTCTTCCTCGCGAGGGCCCCATCTTCAAAGACGCGACAGTATACAAACCCCACGCAGGCCCTGGGATGTCTCGAGCCAGTCGCGCCAATCGGACCCGCAACCCGCCCCAGGAGTCCCGCGCAGTCAGCGAAGAACGCGTGGGCATATAATATGCGTGGCCCCCCCCCCCCGTCTCTAGCTTGTTGCAGAGGGGAATCTTCGCTGGCGCCAGCCCCAACTGAAAGAGACTTCCAATGCAGCTCAACAGTCCAGCTCGAAAAAATCAAACAGACGCGGGGCCGCTGGCCGATCCGCCAGCGAAACCACATCCTGACAACAACAAAAAAACCTTGCCGCCGTCAAGCTTGTTAAACCCCCAAAAAAACGAGCACTCAGAAGCTTTCGGGGCCCCAGAGGTGGCCTCGCGGGGCCCAAACGCGATCCCCGCGGCAAACTTCTCTTCTTCCTGGCAAAGGTCCCTGATCCTCCCGGCTGCGTCCTGGGCCCTGACCGACATGCAGACCCCCCCATGGCTGTCGATGGCGGGGCGCTCGAATCTCCCGCGGCGCAGCGATCCTGGAACTTCTGTGCAGAGCCAGCAAAATCCAATTGGGCCCACATTCCGATTTCAAACGCGCGCCTGGCGGCGGCCACGATGAGTTATGGATTCCGGCCCGCTCGCCATCCTGGAGACGCCACCCCCGAACAAAAGCCTGCGCAAGACGCGCTCGAGCCTGCTATTCTGTCCGCGAGCTCCACTGTAAGCCCTGCGCCCTGCACCCCGCCGCGCCAGGCCGCGAACTACGAGGGGCGCCATGGGGCAAACTATCAACTTCCCCCACGTCTGCCCGCGGGAAACATCGCGAAGAAATCGGCGCCCACCCTATCTCTCCGAGCGCGACGAGGAGCGCGCGCGCTGGCGACGCGGCCGCCGACCGCGGGGAACGGCAACTTTTCGGCTCGCCTACAGCAACAACCATGACAATTCACGTAATATCTAAACTCGGCGCGCCGTCCCGCGCCGTTCTGGCCAACTGATAAATGACATTGGGATGGCCCGGTACGCGCGGCAACTTCATGTCTGTTAGCCTCCTACAGGCAAAAAATTGCACGCCCCTGCGCCTGACGCGCCTGCCGCGCTGCAAGGCCCGAGGCAGCCGCGCCCCAGAGAGCCCCGAACTGAGACCCAGCCCCGTAAACGCCACTGACCACCGCGCCTGCTGACTTCAGTTCAACGAGCTTCTTGCGCCTTCCAACAGCTTTCCTGAGCTTCTTGAGCGCCGCGGTGTTCCTCCTGATTCCCTCGACTTCCGTGTCGCATCCTAAGGATCGAACAACCGTTTTGCCACTGCGCCCGAAGTCCTTCCTGGCCACCGCGAGCCTCTTGGCGGCCTCGCAGTTGGAGCCCGAAAAATATGTTTCTTGCCCGAGCCCACAAGCTCAAACTCTGCAAACCCTTCTTGAACTGCGCCCCCGTCTCCTTCAAATTCTCACCAATGAACTTCGACCGGCAACTGGGGGGAGACATCATCGACGACATTGCGCACGTAAAGCGCGGGATAAATCGAGGACAACGTTCTCCCAATTCCGTGCAAAACTATCTTCGTGAATCCGGCAGCCGAACTGCAACCGACTAGAACCGCGCCCGTGAGACGCGTGATCCATGAGACTGCACCCGCGAAAGCGGTCGCCCTGGGTCCTGCGCGCAGCGCAACGGCCGACATAGTCAATCCCGAATGGACCCCTGCCTCCTGGGTTTCAACGGAAATAACATTCCAGGAGGTACCCTCGCGTTGTCATTGTCTAAGACCACGCAAAGAGTGCATGCGTCAAAGCTCCTGGCTGGAGCGCGCTCGCTGAACGTTGAGCGTCGCCGGCCAGCCCCGTCGCGCCCCGTGCCCCTGGGGCCCCAAATGGACGGAGAGCGGCGACGCATGCCCCAGACGTGGCCTCGATTTGTCAAAGACAATCCCCAAACCTGAAAATCGAGCATCAACGCCAGCGGGCGCAATCCAGCGTCGTCAGGTTTCCCTGGGAACACAATAGCAGTGGGGAGCTGATCTGGAATCTCGGACGGGGCCGTCCTCCCAAGACATCATGACGTCCACCAAGCGGCCCAAGTACTCTGTCCCAAGGTGCACCCAAGAACGAGGATTGCGGTCGCCAGTACCTAGCCCAGCATCATGCTTGAACCGAGTGAGGGGCCACCGGGCCACCAGAGGGCTGGGCCCCCCAAGAGGCTCCGAGGCCTTCGCTAACTGGACCTGGGCGTCCGTGATCCCCGACTTGCGGTGTTATCAATCGGACCCCAGCTCCAACATCAAACTCCCGATGGCCTTGCCGCCCTGCATCTCGATCCCCTGCTCATTCCTTGGGCAAGTCACCAGACTCGTGTGCTTGCTGCAGGCACGAGCCGCCTTGCCTTCCTTTAGCGACAGACTCCTTAGCCCACACCTTCCAGCGTGTCCACTGCTTCCTGGAATGCTTGGCCATTGAATGATCGCGCGTGGCTCTGGAAGCAAGCAAGAACACGCCGATCTCACAACCTTCGGTCGCCTCACTGGCTTCGAACAGATCCTCCATCGAAGGCGCGATCACAATAAACTGAGGCTGCAAAAATTGCGTCGGAGGAAACCATGCCTTGCCCGCAACCCCTGGGACCGCCCAGTATATCCATTGCGTCGCCCCCCATAAATGTCGTAAGCCCTACATAGCCCCAGCTCAACGTTGTCTAACCACTCTTCCCAAGACACCTGGAAACTGATGTCCGCGCCCCCAGACTGCCATGCCCAAGCTCTGTTCCCAGGCTCTCTGATGCAACCTACGTGCTGCTTGGTAGGGAACTTCTTCCACTGGACCATGACGTGGATCGGGGGGCTAAGGTAAACACCCTTCATCCACACCTCAGCTGGCCACTGGGGGCAAATTTTACGTCGGGCGAGGCGGATTCTGAACGACTAATTTAGAATATCCGAAATAATACCCACAAATGGTTAACAAATGCTCAAAACATTGTCGCCCGCCTATTTTCTTGCTATTCTTGAATATTCCTCCTGTATGGGGGCAGGTCCGACTTAAGGCTCATGTGGTGCATCGTGCAAAACCTGCACTCCCTCTCGGCGCACTGGCCCTCAAAACATGGGACACAATGAAAACGAACCGACCGATCGCGTTCGCACTGGCAGCACATGCAACCTGGAGGCCTCTTGGGCCCTTTTGGGGCTGTCTTTTGGCGGCGCGCACAAGGGGGTGGAGGGAGGGCGGGGAATTCTTAGGAGGAGGCTGCTTATTAGAAGGCGCCTCCTTACATCTATAGACAAGGCCCGCGCCTTCTAAGTAACAGGGGTGCTTTTAAGAAACCCTCCCCCCACCCCCCTCTGCGTGTGGCTGAGTCTTGAGGGCCTCTGAAGTCGTCGTGGGGCTTCTTTGGAAACGTCTTGGGCGCTCTGGGGGCGGTCGTGGGGGCCTCTTGGGCCGTCTTAGGCCGTCGGAAGGCCGACAAGGATTACATGTCAGAACCCACTAGGAAACACCACCGCCGCTCAAACGTTGGAGCACCAGGCTCGTAGTCCATCCGCTGCGGGGTCCACGTTCGCGCCGCAACCGGTCATCCAAAGAACAGTGCATCGCTTCAGGAAGCGCCCAAGACCCGCAAGAAGCTATCACCTCCAACTCCCTGGGAATGGTGACAGTAAACCGACATCCATAGCAGGCCCCCAGATGGCACCGCATGCGCATGCCTCGCACACACACACGTCCAGCCTGGGGAATCTGACCTATCTCCTGAATGTGAATCGTCATCTGGTTGAGCTGTCTCCAAGCGCCACTGACTAGACCTGCAGAGTCGGCCATAGCATGGTCTCCAGGAATCACCGCAAGACGGAATTCAGCTCCGAAGCACTTTCTTTTCAAAGCCCCTACATTGCTGGCGATCGTTTCAGGACTGGCAAGTCTGGTCTCTTGCCCCACCAGAATCTGAGGTTGGTCTCCAGACATACTGCCGTCAAGCCTCCATTCAAGAACAGTCTCCCAGGAACTCCAAGAGTTGGCGCTGCAAGAGAAAAACCCAAGAGGTCGTTGTTGTTTCCTCTTGGTGATTCGCCGAGGCAACTGAACAGGATGCTGTGCCTCACCAGTGCCACGCGTAGCTGCACAGACCGTGTGCTCCCACAGGTGCGACATCATATCCATGGTGTTGCAGCTGACTCTACCCTGGTCTTCCATCTTCCCAAAAAAGCATATCAACTGCAGAACAACTAGGAATCTGCTTGCCACCACCAACCGTATTAGCTCGAAACTCGTCACTATGTCGATGTCGGCCTTCGTGTGATGCGACGCACCGTTCCTCCAGCGACTCCCTAGACCTGGGACATCAAGTGGATCACCGCACCGAGGCGCCAGCTCTCCTCCTCCTCCTCCTCCTCCTCCTGCTCTTCCTCCTCCTCCTCCTCCTCCTCCTCCTCCTCCCTCTCCTCCTCCCGCTCCACCTCCTCCTCCCTCCCATGCCATTAATTTTCTGATGAGAGGAATGCTGAACAAGAAGAGTTCGAAGAAGACTCCAGGACCCTGAAATTCAGCACCAACGTTTGGCACACCATACTTTACGCTGCATCTTTCGGAGACCTCGTCTGCCCCATCGCACCAACCAACCATGTCGCATCCATGTCGAATACATGTCGAATCCGTGTCGACTCCGTGTCGAATCCGTGTCGGATCCACGTCGGATTCACGTCGAACCCACGTCGGAGTAAAAAAAGCACGATCACTTGCAAGACGGAGTGTTATATCAAACATATGTGTTGAGAGAGGGAGGGAGAGCGAGGGAACCTCACCAAAGGGGATGAGGGAGGAGCAGGAGAAGGAGGAGAAGGAGGGAGAGAAGGATGAGGAGGACAAGCGATCCCGACTCCTTCCCCGTGACTGCAAGGCCCCCCTCCACCCACAATTGGACTCGGCGCTGATCTGGGGGCGCGGGGCGCGTTGCCAGCGCGGTCCCCGACGCCTCGGCCGTTGGGCCGCACGGGACATGCTACGTCAGCCTGCCCCCCCCTAGCTCAACGCCCCTACCACTTCTGCTCGTCTTGACGATGCTGCTGCTGCTCCTCCTGCTCCACCTCCTCACCCCCTTTCTAAGACGGGCACGGCCCTGACCAATAGATACACCGCTACTCATCCCTCTCCTGCTGCTGCTGCTGCTCATCCTCTTTCTCCTCCTCCTCTTCCTCCTCCCTCCTCCTCCTCCTCCTCCTCCCCGAGACAGCTCCCCAGCGAGTGGAGGCCAAAGCCTGTTTGCAGCGATCGCCTCGTTGAACTTCTGCAGCCCCTTGTCTAGCCGGTTCTCCAACACGCGTATCTGCTTGGCCACGGCCTCCCGCGGAAGGGGCGGGCTCGCACGCGCGCGCGCGCGGGGAACGGGCGCGAGGAAGCAATCCCCGGAGCCCCTTCCAAACAAAAGCGTGCTCATCGCTCCAAGCAGACCGTCATCCGCTCGCCCCCGCCGCTCGACCTTCTCTTGCAGCCAGTGCTGTCCGTCCCTACCCCCCCTTCCAGAGGCAGGTCCCTGGCAGCCCCCCGTGCCACCCCGCCCCCACGGGGGTGGCACGGTGGAGCCGCAGAAGGCTCGACCACGCCTGGCTCCACAGCCAAGGCGCGGAGATCAGGGCCGCTCTGTGCTCAGGAGCGGCTCGGGCTTGCGGGCCGCTCCTCAGATGGATGTGTCGTGGCAACTGCTTGTGGCCCGGGCCCGCCGTGGCCGGAACGGCCCCCGGTGTTCCTGACTCTGCGCTCCCGACGGTAGCACGATGACTGCAGAGCCGTAGAGCCTGTCAGCAAGCCTCTAGATTCGAGCTTCGGCGGCTACGCAACGAGCCACCGTGCCATGCTTGCATGCACACCTGCCTGCGGCAGAGCGTGCGATGCTACGTTCACAAGCATGCGCTGTACGACTTGCGGACGACTTAGCTGCCCCGATACGCAACGCGCAACCCGTAGCGTGTCGACACGGAGCTCAACACGAAGACTGAATACGCAGTTCTGGTGCGATAAGTTACGCTTGTCGAAACGTGGGCCAACACGTGCCGAACTACCTTTTTGTTCGTCGGCGGCGAGGCGGAGGCGATCCGCACCAGCGTCGGGCTAGCCGGGGCACCGATAGGCAAATTGTCCGGCGTGGGGAGGGGGGGGGGGGCGGCCGCGCGGGGGGAGGAGGAGAGAAGCGCTCAGAAGCGAAGACTTCCGCGGTGAGCGGGCCGGGGCGCCCAGCCAGGGCAGCGTGCCGAGCTAATAACGCGCAGCGTGCCAGCACGGACGTCTTGAGCACGGCACGCGTTGCGTCCCCCAAACGGGCGTATCAGGTCAGCTATCGGCGGCGAGCGAGGGGGAAGTGGGAGGGAGAAGGAGGCCTTCTCAGAAGGCTCGAAAGCACCCCGGCCTTCTGAGAGGTTCCTCGAGCCTTCCCCGAAGGCACAGCAAACCTCTCAGAAGGTGCGAGGATTTCTGAGAAGTCCCGCCGCCTTCTGCGAATGCATCCTCCTTCTCACTTCCCACCAGGCGCGCCGCCGAAGTAGGTTTTTGGATCATAACTCGGGCCTCGGGCGGCCGTTCGGGAGACGCTCCTGGCACCCGGCACCCCCGGAACGCTCTCGCCGAGGCGCAGCCGCGGGAACGCATCCGAGGCTGGAAAACCGTCGAGTACCGACGAAGACGTCCGAAAATCTCGAACCTCGAACCACGGGGCTCGCTCACCGCGGAGGCTAAGGGCAGCGAGCATCGCCCCGAGAGGGCCCGAGAGGCGAGGCGCGGAGCAAAGGCCATCCGAGAAGGCTCCGCCCCGGCGAGGCCCCTCGCTGCCCCCCCCCCTCCCCGCCTGCAGCAGCGGCGGCCAGAGGTCCGGCACCCCGAGGAGGGGCTTCGCGTATCCCCACCAGCCCATTCAGAAACCCTGCCCTTCAGAGCTGACGAGAAAAGGGACGACGAGACACATCTAGGGAAACAAATACAGCAAGGGGGTGGCCTTGGAAAGTCTCTTCGGGCCATCCCTGGGTGCCGCGTGGGGGCGAGGGGAATAGGAGGAGGGGGAGGAGGAGGAGGAGGAGGAGGAGGAGGAGGAGGAGGAGGAGGAGGAGGAGGAGGAGGAGGAGGAGGAGGAGGAGAAGGAGGAGGAGGAGGAGGAGGGGGAGGGGGGAGGGGGAGGAGGAGGAGGAGGAGGAGGAGGAAGAGGAGGAGGGGGAGGAGGAGGAGGAGGAGGAGGGAGGAGGAGGAGGAGGAGGAGGAGGAGGAGGGGGAGGAGATGGAGGAGGGGGAGGAGGAGGAGGAGGAGGAGGAGGAGGAGGAGGAGGAGGAGGAGGAGGAGGAGGAGGAGGAGGAGGAGGAGGAGGGAGGAGGACAAGAAGTCGCGTTTCAAGGAGGGCCTCGCCTTCGGCGCCGCCTCGCCATCCCGGGGAGGGAGGGCGGCGGGAGCCAGCAGAAGCCAAGCAGCGGCGGGTCCGCCGGCGGAACGCAGAGGCGACGACCGGGCGACGCGACTGCTCGCACGACGGGTGCCCGGGAGCCCCGGCGGAGAAAGGAAGTGCACGGGCAACTCGTGCCAGGGAGGAGGCGGGAGAAGGAGGCAAGGGTCTCGGGCGCCCACGTCGAAGCTTCTCGAGCGGGGCGCGGCCAACGAGAGTGGCCGAGGAGGGGCAGAGGAGGCAGGGACACAAGGGGTGCCTCTCCGGGAAGGCTGCCCATCCTCACCGTGCGTCCTCCTCCTCCTCCTCCTCCTCCTCCTCCTCCTCCTCCTCCTCCTCCTCCTCCTCCGGTCGACTGACTGTAGGAACCTCCGCTGCCCTGCTGCGCAGAGCACGCCACGCCCGGCGCACCGACGCACAGAGCTCCGCACGTGGACTTGGAAACGTAATTAGGCATGGCGCGATGCGTTCCCCACAGCGCGGGCCAACCTGTGCCGAGCCAGCACGCAGCGCACGGACGCGGAGGTCTTCCGCACAGCACGTGCTGCGCTGAAGCACGGGCGTAGCGAGGCAAATAAGGTACGAGCCAATCTCTCTGGCCGCCCCGGGGCATGCGCCGCCGATGGCAGAAGAGCTCGGCATCCTGTGCAGATGCACAATGCTTCGTCTGCCTGCGGGATGGGGGGGGGGGTAAGGGTGGGGTAGGGGCAGGGATGCGATTAGGAGGAGAATCGCTCTCAACGGCCCCTGGAAGAAGGACCCGTAGGCATCCAGCTAGTTTCGCTCCCTGACCCCACCTTGGACCCCCCCCCCTCTACGGACCCCCAACGGAAGGCCCACCCCACCCCCCTCCGCACGCGCCCAGGCAGGCTCCCGTCCCCCCCTCCCTCGCCCTCTTCGGAGGCAACCCTCGGCCTCCCTGCTTCCAGCGCCTCCCGGACTCTCCGGGTGGGCTCCCCCTCCTCCCCTCCGACCTGCGCAGCTTGGGCCCGCGCGCGGGAGCGAGGCGCGACCCGCCCCCCCTGGGGGGGGGCGCGGTCCTCTCGAGAGCGCTCCGATGCACAACGGCGGGCGTGGGAGCCAGGGAGACCACCCTCCCTGCCCCCTCGCCATCGCTCGGACGTCCATCCCCCGTACACTCGTCGGCCTCGTGCGTCGTTTTCTTTTTGTTCTTTCCACCGGGTGCTCCGAGATACTCCTCGATGGCCCGCGCCGCGACAAAAAATGCATTACGTCCGAGGGATGCCGAGCCCCTCGGGGCGGCGGACGGGGGGGGGGCTCAAGTCGCCACCCTGGCGGTATACGCAGCCCGGCGTCTACGCGGCTTTCTCGTTCTGGCGGGTGGCTTTGCATGCAGTGGAGGACAGTCCACAAGAGACCTTTCACGAGAAGCCCTGCCCTGAGACCCCATGACGTCCATGGACTCTTGGTGTGGGAACGCCACGCTTTACATGGCAAAACCCTCGAGACCCAAGAAGCCCAGGGCACCCAGGAGGCAAGCAGGGTGTTTCTTGGCAGGCGCCCCCAATGTAGCTCAACCCCCCCTCTTTCAGCTCCGACCCGTTCACTGGGCGTTCTGCGCGCTGCTCTCCCTGCGGATGCTCTTCTTCCCCCTGCTCTTAGGTCGGGCATGTCCCCCTACAGGCGGACTCTGGGCGAAAAATTTTAAAAAATACACAAACATACCCCCAAATAGCCAAAAAGATATTCCAACAATCGTCCCCAGACTATTTTTGCAATTATGATTTTAGTGGGGTCCAGCGCCGATCCGAGAAATCCGCGCGGACCTCCGAGTCTTAATGTTTCTGTCATTCTTCCTTCCCCTCCTCGGTGGCCCTCGCCGAGACAAACGGCACACGTCCGAGGGACGCCGAATCCCTCGGGGCGGCGGCCGGGGGGGGAGGCAGGCACCGCGAGTGCGCCGCGAGGGTCCACCCTCCCTGCCCACTCGCCGTCGCTGGGACGTCCATCCCCGTGCACTGTTCTGACGAGCCTGCTCTCCACCACCACCACCATAAGTTGGAGGGGGAGGGAGTCCTCCTCCTACTCCTCCTCCTCCTCCTCCACCTCCTCCTCCTTGTCCTCCTCCTCCTTCCCCCCTCCAACCTATGGTGGTGGTTTTGGAAAACGGGCCTATCATGTTCAGCTTCGTGCATCTCATTTTGTCCACCGTGTGATCCAAGATGCTCTTCGAGGAGGAGGAGGAGGAGGAGACCAGCGTAGATGGAGGAGGAGGAGGAGGAGAGGAGGAGGAAAAGGAGGAGGGGGGGGAGGAGGAGGAGGAGGAGGAGGGGGGGGAGAAGGAGGGGGAGGGGGAGGGGAAGGAGGAGCAGGAGGAGGATGAGGAGGAGGAGGAGGAGGAGGAGGAGGAGGAGCAGGAGGAGGAGGAGGAGGAGGAGGAGGAGGGAAGAGGGAGGAGAAGAGGGAGGAGGGAGAAGGGAGGAGAAGAGGGAGGAGGGAGGAGGGAGGAGAAGAGGGAGGAGGGAGGAGGGAGGAGGGGGTGAGGCAGGCACCGCGAGCGCGGCACGCCGCCCCGAGTGGGAGCGCGCCCCCGCGCGCGCCGCCTGAGGCGGCGCGGCGCCTGGAAGCCTCTCAGATGGGGTCCGAGTAGGTATGGGGTCGATCAGAGGCCAGCACGCTCTCAAAACGAACAGAGGCCAGCACGCTCTCAAAACGAACAGAGGCCAACACGCTCTCAAAACTAACAGGGACTCTCGCGACTCGCCCGGGACTTCCTCGAAACGTTACCCAGACGGGGCGGAGGCTCCTTTTCAAAATGGGGCTTGCGCCTGCACAAGAGCTGCACGGATGCAAGGCAAATCCTTTTCCAAAGCGGGACTTCCGCTGAGCACGTCCATCGCTTTGAGAGGCCTCCCGGATGGGGTCTGAGCAGATGGGGTCTGAGGGCGCCGCATCGCCAATGCATCGCCGATGCGTCGCCGATGCATCGGCGCCGCATCGGCGACGTCGTCGGGGGGGGACGCACGGTCTCCACCTCGAGCCGCATCGTCGATCCATCGGCGAGGAGGCCTGGAGTCTCGCGGCCGCGAGGGCGGGCGCAGGCGAGCGCGAGGTCGGGCCCAGAGGGAGAGGCTCCGGAGGGAGACGCTCCAGTTATAGGGAGGAGTGATAGTAGGAGAAGGAGTAGGAGGAGGAGGGGGAGGAGGAGAAGGAGGAGGAGGGGGAGGAGGAGGAGGAGGAGGAGGAGGAGGAGGAGGAGGAGGAGGAGGAGGAGGAGGAGGAGGAGGAGGAGGAGGAGGAGGAGGAGGAGGAGGAGGAGGAGGAGGAGGAGGAGGAGGAGGAGGAGGAGGAGGAGGAGGAGGAGGAGGAGGAGGAGGAGGAGGAGGCAGCCGCTGTTTTCTTTTTTTCGTCGGGAGGGCTAGGGAGGATTATTGAGCCCCACGGGAGGGCTGTTACGCCAGGGTGGGCCTCGGATGAAAGGAGACCAAGTCGGATCACGCGGGGTTGAGCCAGACTGTACGGGATCAAGCTGGATGAAGCGGTATGAAACCCTTTCTCGAACCAGGGCAAACGCAGAATTTCACCTCCCAGGATTTGCATCCGAACTCCGGGAGGGAGAGGCTCCAGGAGGATCGGGCGGGCGAGTCGAGACTGCGGCAAGGGAGGAGGAGGAGGAGGAGGAGGAGGAGGAGGAGGAATAGGAGGAGGCAGGGTGGCATCAATCCGAATTGAGTTGTGGCAGGACCGGCTAGTAGAGCAAGCTTGCCTGGACTGCGAGAGCTAAAGCATGACAAACTGATCAGCATGGTGCCACACTAAGGCAAGGGCACATAGCGCTATGTCGGGCATGTCCCCCTACAGGCGGATTTTGGACGAAAAATCAAAACTACCCCCGCAAAAAAGCTCAGAAATAATCAAAAATAATGGACAATCGTCCCCAGACAACTTTTTGACTATTCTTGAATACTCCTCCTGTAGATGGACATGCCCGACTTAAACATAGCGCGACGCTCTCGACAGCCCCGCATATGAGGCAGAGCAGGCAAGTGCAATGTAGCCAAAGGAGCAACACGCGAGAAATTCAGCGCCGATCCTGTTCGAAAACTCTGCAGACGAGGCAGAGTGGGGAAAATGTGACGGTGGCGAGAAAGGCAACACACCAATGGCACGACTTAGAACATTAGCGACCGTTCACTTCGAAGCGCATGCCTGCAATTGCCCGGTAAGTCTGACTCCCCATCATATTCCTCCGATACGTATGCCCACGTGCGAGCATGAAGGAATACTTCCGTGGGTTCACTTATCGAGTGTCGTCTTAGGCATTGGTGTGCCAACCGAGTCGCTTGTTCCACCATATGATCCAAAATGCGAGGTGTCGAATATACAAGGGTGCGCTTTTTTAAACACGCGCGCAACCAGAAACAGGCCAGAGACAAGCAACAAATCGCAGACAGGAGCGGCATCGGGCCTTCGTGTTGTCCAGAGAGGCGTTGACACCACCATGTGTTGCCATCTCCTCGCGGAGGCGAGCGAGGCATCACTGCCTAGCGGCAGCCACAACAACACCCGAAACACTCAAGAGGTGCACCGCCCCACCGCCGGGACCGGAGCTCATCCAAAGCCTGACCCTCGTGTAGATGCTACTGGTTCGGTCCATCGCAGACGGCGAATTACACCACCGATCGAGAAGTCGGGTGCCCAAGTCCCGATCGACCGACGGATCGGATGGATAAGCGACGTTGCCGCGCCTAGGCGGACGGCTCGTAGACTAAACTCACAGATTGAGACGCTATGGGATCGTTCCTCCTGACTTAGAAAATTGCTCGTCACCATCCTCCTCGTCCTCCTCCTCCTGCTCCGCTTTCCCGTCCTTCCTTCTCCCCAACCTGCTCCTCATTCCAGACCAAGGCCCGGACCCGTATCCAGATTAAGAGACAAGCTCGGTCTCGAAGTTGGGTTCACAACAGCACGAACATTAGAAGGCAGCGCATGCAATGGAGAGGGATATGATAAGGCTGAACGAGGAGGATGGGGAGCAAGAGGACGAGTGGAATGGGAAAGAGGAAAGGAGGCATATGGCATATGAGAGGAAATACGACAACAAAGATCGTGGGGAAGCGGTGAATGGCGAATCAAAATGTGGTGGCACACCCATCCCTCTCCCTCCCATTTTCACCGGTCTCCTCTACAAGTGCACACTATCAATACTGCTCTCTTCTCCCCCCTGACTCTGTCTGGAAGATGCTCCGCCCTCTCCGCGAATTATCTTACGCACAAAATTGGGCAACATGATTGCATAATTTATTTACCAATCCGATCGCTTCAAGTGTTTTAACCTGATCATGATACTCCCGCTGCAACGTGGGCCTCACTTCTGCGCTTCCGGTCCTTGAAAGTCGCGCCCTCGCCGCAGCATTAGTCTCATTTCTGTGTTGTCGGTCCTCGAATGGTGCTCTCGCTGCGGTTCTGGCCTGATTTCGATTGTTCAAAATGCGGCTCCGGCCTCATCTCCAAATTGCCGGTCCTCCAACATGGTTTTCTGGCTGCGCCTTTCACGCAACCCTGGAAAAACATATATCAGCCAGCGTTGACTCCAAATAGATTGATGGACAGGAGAATACACCCCCATCTATTTGGAAATAGCTGGGGGGTGCCATTGGAAATGAGGGGGGGGGCCATTAGCAAAAAAGAAGGGGGGGGAGGGGGGGCCATTGGAAATAAGGGGGGGGCCATTGGAAAAAGGGGGGAGTCCTAACGACCAATTACTTATGATGAGCTAAGACTCCTATAGGGCAAGCGCATTTGGACGATTAAAGGATACGTTCTGACCACCCGCCGCGGTGCCGCCGAGGGAGGGCGGGGGATCGCCCAGGCACGCGCTCAGGAGATGCTGCCTCTGCTGCGCTTGGTGTCTGCTTGCGCGGCGAGGCCGTAGCCTCAGAAGATGCTGCCTGTGTGGCTCCCGGTGTGTGTCGGCCTCTCGTCGGCTCTGCCCTGAAGATGGCATAGGCCTCATATAGCAGGAGCTTCGTGGGAGGAAGAACTGTCAAGAGCTAGTACCCGTGAGACGGCGGCGCGCCTATAGGGGGAAGGCGGAAGGGGGGCGGGCATTCTCCGAAGGAGAAGCTTTCTTCAAGCCTCCTCCAAACCCAGAGATCCGACGCTTCCGAAAACATGTAACATGTTGGATTCCCGACACGGTGCGGTGACAGACCGTGCGGTGACCTCAAAATCCCAAGACCTCACCGCACAGTCTGTCACCGCACGGTATTGGGACCTCGGAGGCCCCAGTCGCCCGAGACGTCCTCGGAGAACGACCCGAGTCCCAAAACCGTGCGGTGACCCCGAATCTCCACCGACTCACCACACGGTGTGGTCACCACCCCGTTCGGGGGCCCCCGAAACAACGCGGGAAATCACGCCCGGTGCCCCGGACCCCATCTTGCTGACTCATGTTTCGAGCCGGCTCGATCTGCGAGGGTCCCCGGGGCCCGACCACGAGGCAACACGCCCGGCGTGACGACGACGCCGCCGACGACGAGGACGATGAGGATGATGAGGATGATGAGGATGAGGATGCTGATGATGCTGATGAGGATGCTGATGATGATGATGATGATGATGATGATGATGATGAGGATGCTGATGCTGATGCTGATGCTGATGCTGATGCTGATGCTGATGATGATGATGATGATGATGATGATGATGATGATGATGATGATGACGATGACGACGATGACGATGACGTCGTCGTCATCATCATCGTCATCGTCGTCATCGATGGGGCCGAAAAAGGCAACACCGAGGGCGCTTAACGAGTGCCGCGAGACCAGGTCGGGGCGCCGTCGCGAGCGAGCGGTGAGGCACGCCGGTGGCGGCACCCACGGGCCCCGAGAGAGAATCCCACGCGCGCGCGGGCCACCGCACACTGCTGGCGGGGGGGGGGCCCGATCTGCTCTGCGGCGCCCGGGCTCATGCTGTGCTTTCGCTCGTCTTGGGGACTCTTCAATTTTCTGTTGTTTCGCTCATGTTTGTGTTTTCGTGTGTGTTTTTTAGGGGGCAAACGAGGAGCAACGGCGGCGGCGCCGAGCCCCGGAGAGGAACCACGCGCGCGGGGCCACCGCACTGGCTGGCAGGGGGGCGCCCCCGAGCCGAGCTGCTCGGGCCCTCGCTTGCACGCCCACGTGCCCCCCGCGCGCATGCCTCGACCTCGCGGTGAGCGTTGTCTCATTCGGCGTTTCGGCATTGGGCGGAAGGACCTCGACGTTCTCTTCTTCGACGTTTCTCATTCGACGCTTTCTCATTCGACGTTTCGACATTGGGGGAGGGGGAAGGGTCTGGCTCCAGACCTCTGCTCGATGCGGCGGTTTGCAGCAGTGCGTCCATATGGGGGAGACCTCACCTGCCTGAAACAGGAGCCACGAACAGCCAAGATCTACTCCATGGGGAGGGGAGGGGGGGGTGCGAAGGCCCGCGCCGATCTGAACAAAAAACAAGAAAACGATCACGCGCGTGTATTGTGCTTCACCAGATCGCAAAAAGTGCTCCACGATGGTCCTCGCCGAAATACGAGGCACACGCCCGAGCGATACCAAGCCTGAGCTTATGCTGTGCTTTATGTTTTTTTTATTTGGGGGAGAAGCACGGTCGTGGAAGCGGGCAACACGATACAACAGCTGGCGATGAGATGCGAGTGCCGTTGCGCTGCCCTGAGCTTTGGGCTACGACGCACTTCATCATCGGCCTCCATCGCCCTGGTCCGCTTCTCCCACTCAGCTCAGCACAAGATCAGACAACATCGAATCGGAACATCGGATCGAATCGACAAATGCGTCGGATCGGGCCGCATCGGCACTGAGTCGGAATCGAATCGCGTCGGCCGCGCCAACATGCCAAACAATGTCATGCCAGCATCGGGACGCATCGGATCGTCGGAAGATTGGAATCGAGCCCGATCGAGCAGGCCAGAGTCGATTTTGAATCGGATCGATGGGATCGAAAGGGACCCTGCAGTGGACATTCTGCCTGGTGCGCCTTCTCCTCCTCCTCCTCCTCCTCCTCCTGCGATGAGGCTGCATCCTGGCGCTTCGAGAACACGTCCACCTCCATGGTCGAAATCTTCTCCTGCGCGTGGGGGTGTGGGGGGCGGCCCGGCTCGGCAGGGATAGAGCAGGGCAAGACGCCATGGCAGGCCAGTGGTCAGTGGCACTGCTCTCTCGGTAGCTCGCTCCTCTGTCCATTGTGCCCACGCACGGGCTTAAACTTCACTGCGTGATCAACGTCAAAAGGGGAGGAGCATCCTGGATGCTTCTGAACAGCAAAAAGGGGCATTGTAAACAGGCTGCTCGCACGTCCGTACTGGTGAAAAGAAAACTCCTCCTCCTCCTCCTCCTCCTCATTCTCCTCCTCCTCCTCCTCATCCTCCTCCTCCTCCTCCTCCATCGCTTTCTTCATTGAGTACATCTATCCTCCCTGTCGCACCCCCAGATGCGTTGGTAGGGCCGGGCGTCTCGCCCAAGCTTTCCTCACCAGCAATGATTCTGGAAAAACTTAGAGCTTGCCACAATTTCACGGGCGGTGGCCGGACCATTCTCAAACGGTGGCTCTCGCCGAGAGGCGCCGAGCGCATGCGTCTCAGAGGTTGGCAGCAGCTTCATGGATGGAGGGCGGGCACCGCTTCACGGATGGAGGGCAGGCCTCTCTCTCAAAATGTGGCTCTCACCGAGTCGCCGAGCGCATGCGTCTCAGAGGTTGGCAGCAGCTTCACGGATGGAGGGCGGGCACCGCTTCACGGATGGAGGGCGGGCCTCTCTCTCAAAATGTGGCTCTCTCTCTCTCTCTCTCTGAAAATGTGGCTCTCGTCTTTCTGAAGTCTGCAATCCGTGTTTTGGGATATTCGTGAGGGTGAAGTCCCAGGACAGGCGTTCTGGCCCGATTTCGGGTGGTCAGGACGCAACATTCACGTGGATTCGCGGCGCTGTAATCGCAGGAATGGCGGTCTGGCACGACTGAGGACTGGCAGACTTGACGCGATAGAGAATTATCAGACGGTTGTCTCCCAAATGAGCCCGCAATAAGAAGAAATTCTGAGAGGGACCCATGAAGTAGAAACTTGGAGGGAGGGATTGTTACAACATCGTTGATGCGGTTTGAGTGAGCCTTGGTCATCCTCCAGCTGCTTCTGATCCTCCTCCTCCCCCTTCTTCTCCTCCCTGCGCGCCTATGTCGGGAGGCCGCCTGGTATGGGCAACGCGGGTGGCTCCCGACAGGCCCTCCGTGCTCACAGTCAGATCTCGAGCTGCTCAGCAGCGCGCAGGGCTCAGTATCAGTTGAGTTCAACAGATTGGGAGCCCCACTGCGATGTCTTGTCTTGTCTTGTCTTGTCCCCTGCTCCTCCCCCTGCTCCTCCTCCTCCTCCTCCTGCTCCTCATCCTCCTCCTCCCATCCTCCTCCTCCTCCTCCTCCTCGACTGGGTCTGCCTCGGCGGCTTCAACATGGAGGTGGAGCAGCTGGTGCAGGGCTGGTACGGCCCGGTGCAGACGCTGCAGCTGGTTCCCCCGACCCCGACGTGCTTCGGGGCAGCCGAAGGTAGCAAGACAGACCATGCCTTGGCCAGCCGCAGCCTCTTCACCAAGGTCGAGGCCTCGTGGGCCGACCGCCGTGCGCCGGCGTGGCCCCATGTCCCAGTCCAGCTACCCGTGCTCGTCGAGGGTCTCCCGTCGTGGCTTCGGGTTCCTGGCGAGCCCAGTGGCCATGCCAGGAGGCGAAGGCCCCGTGGGGGCTGCGCGCCTCTCTCCCGAGGTGCGGGGAGTGGCACAGGGCGAGGTTGGAAGGCCAGCAGGCGCAGGATGCGATTGGGCTGGCAAAGGCCTGGGACTTCGGACTTCGTGGTGTACGCCATCGGGCAGGAGCTGGCCGACCGTTGGGGGTACCATGGCGCCCAGCGACGGCAGCACGCCGGTCGAGGAGGTCCGCCCTCGCCAAGCTAGTGAGGCAGCAGGGGCAGCCACCGCGCCGCCGACGTTACCAGTCTGAAAGTGCAGCGGCTATGCAGGTGGCCGCGCGCTGGGCGAACCATGCCATGCGAGCCTGGGCCACCATCTGTCAGCGGGTGAAAGGTCTCCAGCAACCTCTGGCCAACAGCTCGGCAGAGACCGCACAGGTCGACGATATTTCCCAGATGCTTGTTGAGTTGGACAAAGTGTTCGGTAGCTTGTCAGGTCCAATTCAATATTGATGCACCTCCCCACAGACGCGTGCAAGTTTTTCTGCTCTGGCATGTACTTATGTGGGCAGCCGTCCTTCACGACGCCGGCCCAAGGCATCATCGACTCTGCTGACGCCAAGTGCAGGCAGCCTCAAGAATCGGGTCAGCGCAGCCCATCTTTTCACCAGGAGCCATCCTTTGCAAGAGGTGGCAGATATGGCAGTGCGCGGCAGTCCACATGAGCTCGTGGAGCGCGAGATGGACAGGTGGAAAAAGGTCTGCACCTGGCATGGCCTGACTCAGGCGGCAAGCCCCCCTGAACTGGAACCGTGGGACGAGTTGCCGTTCATGGTCGAGCCACTCTGGTCATGGTAGCGATAGGATCTGGGATTTAGAAAAACGGCCTCGGATTTAGAGCATCCGTTTTTGAATTTAGTAAACAAGTTTCTGCGTATGATGTCTTGTCTTGTTTCGATTCGGCGGCGCAGTTGAATACATCCGCTTCTCGCTTTAGGAAATCATCGCTTTTTCAATAACTTGTTTTTAAGAATGCGCGTTCGTTCATTACCATGACATATGTTAGCCGGTGGTGGTCTCTCAGCGCGGCCTCTATGCGTGCCAGGGTCGGAGAGCGTGACAAGCGTGGCCTTTCTCGACACCAGAGGGGTGCGCAGGGGGCGGTCTCTCAGCGCGGCCTCTATGCGTGGCAATTTCTCGACACCACAGGGGGCGTGCAGGGGGTGGTCCTCTATGCGTGGCAGGGGCTTGTCAGTGTGTGCGCAGGGGGTGTTACTTCAGCGCGGCCTCATATGCGAGCCATGGCGGGAAAGCGCGGCATGCGTGGCAGCCAGAACCGTAGGGGTGCTGGTTTTCATCCCTGCCGCACGCATGGCATATTCTCTTAACCTTAAGGGGTTCGCAAGTGGTGGTCTCTGAGCGCGGCCGCTATCCGAGCCGTTCGTCCAGGGCGTAGCAGGCGTGGCACTTTCTCGACATCATAGGGGGTGCGCAGGGAACGGTCACCAACATGATTCTCACATGCTTCACTTCGGCTATCATCACTCCAGTCATAATATAAGTATGTGGGGGTCCTCGGTAGCGCAATTTGTTGTAAGAATGCGCGTTCAGTCATTACCATGACCTATGTTAGCCGGTGAGTTCATGACGGTGGCGCACCCGCGATCGGTGACGATGGCGTTCAAGGGCACGCGCGGCGCTGGGCCCCACGTGCCCGTGCCCCCGCGAGCGCTGTGGCACTCACTTTCCTCAACGCAGGCGTCCACATCACGAGCGAGCTGCTCCAGCGCCGCAAGAGGCTTGGGTTACGTCCGTCGCGCCCCTCTCCAGGAGGAATATTCAGAAATAGTCAACAATAGTCGGGGGACGACTTGTTAGTATTTCTGAGCATGTCGGGGGGATTATTCGACTATTTCTTATTTTTCGTCCAACGTCCCCCTGTAGGGGGACAGGCTCGACCTAAAGCTTGGGGTCTGGCTCGAGAACCGCTGCTACAAGGAGTTGGTCAGACGGCCGAAAGCTGAAGGAGGAAATCGGGCCATTGCGTTAGTCCACACGCTCCTGCGTGTATGAGCGAAGGGCAGCCGTGCCATCTCCCGCGCCCGGCTGGCTCACATTGACCTGCCTGACATGTGGGGAGCCAGTGGTGGCACGCGTACGACTGCCGGTGCCGCCTTCGAGCATAACTTGGCGGCCGAGGTAGCGAAACTGCTGGGTCTGCACAGTACCGCCGCCGCGATGGACGCCTGGGAAGCCTACGAGTCGGTGCGCCCCAGCGCGCTGCTCGACGAGGTGCGAGCGCGGCTTCCCGCTTACCCTCTGCTGGATTGTTTTAGGTCGGGCATGCCCCCCTACACGGGGATTTTGGACGAAAGATAAAAAAATACCCCAAGAATAAAACAAACATCAAAAATGATCACAAAATTGTTCCCAGGCGATTGTTGGACTATTTTTGAATATTCGCCCTGTAGAGGGACAGGCCCGACTTAAGGATAGTTGCAAAAAACCATCGCCAGCCTCGCGTGCTGCGTGCTTTCGCTGCCTGGTCGGAGCCCGTGGTCTCGTGGCAAGGGCTGCTGGCGGGGTGCTCGCACTCCACCGCCAGCGTCGCGCTCTGAGCCCCGCGCGCCGTGAGGCGCGCCCGCTCGAGCCAGACCGTGCCGCGCGCTCTCGCTGACGATCTGACGCTGCAGTGCGTGGGTGAGCGGGCGGGGGAGGTCCTTTGTCTGTGGGGAGCCGTGGCCCGTTTCCAGGCTGACGTTCGGCCCCCCAGGACTTATCCTGCAGGGTTCTGATGTCGGGCAAGTCGGGCTTCGTCGCGGCCACGAGGGCGGTCGCTCAGGCAGCAAGCAAGCAGGTTGGGGCCGGCCTCGCCTGTGCCACCCACATGCGAAACCTCGGCAACGAGCTGAACGGAGCGGATCGCAGGCGGCCCATGACGAGCAAGCGTTTCGTTAAGCTGAGAGGTAGGTTGGCCAAGGCGCAGGTGCTGTGTCGTGCGGTGGGCTCTCGTGCATCGTGTCTATGGCGCACAGGCCTGCTGCCCAGCGCCAGTCATAGTGAGGCGGTGTCCGGGACCACGGATGCGGAGTTGCGAAAGCTGAGAGCTGCGGCAGGTGGTCTTGTGAATGCAGGGGCGCTCGAGGCAGCTCCCTGACCGTGCACCTTGCGACGCAAAGTGATCTTGGCATGTCCGCGTCTCTCTTGGCCACTGGTCCGCACCATGTGTGCCCGATGCTCCGCGAGGGTACCCGACGGTGGCAGGTGGCCCGCATCGCTAGGCACTTTCAGGAGTTCCCTGACGATGTGCAGCTGTGGCCGCGAGCTTTGCGCGCGATCTGGTCGGACTCGGTGTGGCCGAACGGTACGCTTCACGAGCATGGCGAGTCGACCAGTCTGCTGCCGAGGGTGTGGAGCACCACGAGAGACGCTTGGCCATATGCCTTTAACCTGCCCTGTGCTGCAGAACCAAACGATTGGCAAAGAGATCGAGGTGCCGTTGCTCGCTGCGTTGAAAAAAAACGCGTGACCAGTACTTGGAAAAAGGACCTGTCACCAGAAGGATCACGGACCAGCATTCTTTCGAACTGTGTTGGTTTGCCGATGAAGCCGGAACCAGCGCGGCACACTGCAGCTGAATCTCGCATCCATTTTTGGGGTGATTGGAGCAGCCCAGGCAGCAGCCGTGGTCGACTATACCGACGGCTCGGCGATGCACCCTAGCATCCCCGACCTGCCCCATGCAAGATTGGACGTCGTTCGGGTCTCCGAAGATGGGGTTCCGTTGAGACTGGTGTTCGGGGGAGTGCCTGGGGTCCTTCAAACAGGGGGGATTGCTGAATGGCTGGCCGTCGCTCGAGCTCTCGAGGTTTTGCCTCAACTGTGCACTGTGGTGTTCGACCTGCTGTCTTTGGTTCAGGAGGGGCAGAAAGGGTCGGCGGCGGACGCCGGGACACCTGGCAAGCACGCTGCCGCATGACCTCATGAGTTTTCCTGGTGTCCCGCCAGTGGGGATTTTTCGGATGCGGTCCTGGCCCGCCCTGGTCCTGGAGTGCCGTTCCTGCACGTGGGGCGGGCCGTGAGGTGCTGGAGCTGGACACTTGTCGTCAAGATGACGGGCCTGAGCCACGAGGCCCGCCCCCCCCCAACAAGACCTGCCCCGATAGATACACACGATGTTAGGCCGCGTGCCAGGAGGAATGAGCAGAGGCGTTTCGCGTGCAATGTATCGACGAGGTCCCAGCTGGGCCTCAAACACCTCCGCACCATGCGTAAATTCTAACAGTGCTCCCCGAGTGAAGTGGCTCACGGCTCGGTTATTTGAGCACTCTCGGGGGGCTTGGGGTTCATGATGGGCCGATTTTCCACCACCACTACCATATTCAGGAGGGGGAGGGGGAGGGGGAGGGGGAGGAGTAGGATGAGGAGGAGGAGGGTGAGCAGCAGGAGGCGGAGGAGGAGGAGGAGGACCTCCTCATCCTACCTACGGCAGCGGTGGTGGAAAATTGGCCCATCATTCCACCCGCCTCGTCCGAGGCCGCGAGGGCCGCGGTGTGGAGGCTCCCGTCTGCTGGAGCGGGGACGGACCTGTGCGCCCAAGCCTCCGCGGAGAGACGCGGCGAGAGCCCGCGCCCCTCACAAAAACGGGTGGGCGCGCCACGAGCTCTGGGGCGCGCCGGGTGCCCGAGCCGATTGGGATCCGCCGTGCGCCAGCGGCAGCCCCCCCATATCCTCCCTCCACCGCCGCCCTCGACGTCCCCCCTTATCGTCTTCCTCCTCTTCCACCCCCTCCCCGCCCTCCCGCTTCTCGTTCCTCCCGCCCTTCTCCTTCCCTCCCAGTAAACTTCCTCCTCCTCCTCCTCCTCCTCCTCCTCCTCCTCTGCCTCCTCCTCTTCCTCCTCCGCCTCCTCCTCCTCCTCCTCGTCTTCCTCCTCCTCCTCCTCCTCCTCCCCCCCTCCTCCTCGCCTCCCCCGTCCGTCGTCCTCGCCCACCTCCTCTTCGCCTCCTCGCAACCTTTTGCGGCTCAAGCCTGGCTTTCAGGAGGCCTGGGTGTCCCGGCGGTTGGCGCTCCAGGGGGCGCAACTCCCAGGCCGATCTGGGACCTCTGGACGCCCGAAGTGGGCACGGGAAACATGGGTACAGTGCCGAACCACAAACGTTGTCCCAAGCCAACCGCGGCCGCTGTTGGGCAGGCGGCCTTCCGTCTCGAAGGGACGCGGACCGCGGCGGCGCGGACAGCGAGTCCGGTTCAAGATGCACAAGAACTCCTGCTGGGCATCGTACCCACCCTGTCCGTACCCATCTCGCTCGTGCCGAGGACCGATGCCTCCGTCGTAGGCTGTGGCCGGCGTCCGTGGGGGCGGGGGGGGGGGCCGGGGGCGGCACGAGCAGCTCGGGGGAGACAGGCGCTCGCCCTGCCGATGTCGGTGGTCTTCCGAGCCCGCGGCCTCGACACGGCCGAGGTGGGTCCGTTAGTCTTCAGTCTGTCGGCGGAGTGCCTGCTTCTCGGAGGGGCATCAACAGGTCAGGAGCCTTCGGCGGGTTTGTGTAAAGGACTCTCGCGTGAGCCCAAAGCACGTGCCGACCAGCAGCCGACCGAAACTCGGTCGGTTGGAGCGTGGCGAGCACCCAGCTGAGAAGTAGGGTGTGCTAGATCCCTCTGCAAGGCGCGGTCGGGCAACTGGGACGCGCTCTTCTATCGCTCGTTACATCCCTTTCCTCCTCCTCCTCCTCCTCTTCCTCCTCCTCTTCCTCCTCCTCCTCCTCCTCCTCTTTCTCCCCTCCTCCCCACACCCCTCACATGTTCCGTGGCCCCTCAGGTAGCTCCACCGAAGGCCCAAATGGCAGGGTGCTCATGGCGTCCCCCCGCTCAGCTCGGCACACGCCTCACACGTTTTGCGGCCCCCCACCGAAGGCCCCAGTGGCAAAGCCCACATGTCGGCGTTGCCTCTGTTCGGCCCATCTGTCAGATATTTCATGGCACCACACGGAGCTCCACCCAAGGCCCGAGTGGCAAAGCCCGCATGGCGGCGGCGACTCATTTCGGCACGCCCTTCGCGCGTGCTGATGCCCCATAGGGAGCTCCACCGAAGGCAACGCCAGCATGGCGGCGGGGCTTCATTTCGAAGCACACCTCACGCGCTTCGTAGCCGCATAGGGAGTTCCACCGAAGGCCCGAGTGGCAAAGCCAGCATGGCGGAGGTGTCTCATTTCGGCACTCTCCTCACACGCTTTGTGGCCCGAAGGGAGCTCCACCGCAAGCACCCATTGCGGCGTTCTCATGCGTATCCTGGCTCATTTCGGTACACCCCTGAATCGCTTCGTGGCTCCATGGGGAGCTCCACAAAATGCCCAGTGGCAAAGCCTGCATGTGGGGCAACTCCGCTTCGGCACGCCGCTCACACATTTCGTGCTTCCATATGGTTCTCCGTCATCTGCCCCACTGGCAACGCCCCATGTAGAGTAATTCCGTTGCGGTGCACGCCTCACACTTTTCGTGGCCACGTAGAGAACTCCACCGAACGCGCCAGTTGCAAAGTTCGCCTGCGTTCCCGCTGCCCATCATGTCAGCGCGCCTCACATGTTTCGTGGTAGGGAGCTCCACCGAAGGCCTCAGTGGGCAAGTTCTCACGCGATCCCGCCGTCCATTTTGGCACAACCAGCACGCGCTTCGTGGCCCCATAGGAAGCTCCACCGAAGCCGTACATTTCGGCACACGGTTCGTCCCCATCCCATTACGCTCTCGGGGGGGCACAAGCGGCCGTTCGGGGCGATTCGGGCCCCGAGTGACGATCGCCGGCCGTCTTGAAGCCATCTTGGGCCATCTTGCGGCCAACGTGGCCCGTCTTGGAGTAAGATCGGGCCGTCCTGGAGGCCCTGGAGGCATCTGGGCCTCGGGAGCGCAGATCTGCTGCATGTTGTAAAGGTTTGTGCCCCCGTGGAGAACAGGCGGTGCGTGCGAACGGGTGCGGTCTGGAGAGGGGCCCAAACGCCCCAGGAATTTCCGACAAAACACAAAGATAAGACGATGATAACATCGTGTGGGGATAACTCGAGAATCTCTGAGATCCCGCGGCATTCCCAGAACGTTCCAGAACGCTCTGTGAGAGCGTTCCAAAACTCTCTGGAGCGAATTTATCCTCGTCCTGGCCCCCTTCGACAACCTGCGAAGGCCTCCAGAAAAAAGACTGCCGCCAAGCGCCGATGGCCTGGGAGCGCGCCGGACCCCGCGCCGCCAAGGCCACCGCCGCCTTACCACTGCCGCCGTCTACGAGGCAGCGCTCCAGCACCGTATGACCTCGGAGGAGGAGGAGAGCGAGGAGGAGGAGGAGGAGGAGGAGGAGGAGGAGGGAGGAGGAGGAGGAGGAGGAGAGAGAGATGAGGAGCAGGAGGGGTGAGGGGTCGGGGAGCAACGGGGGAGGAGGGGCGTCGAGAGGCAGACGCACGGAGCCCTCGCGGGCTGCCGCGGCCACGAGGGCGCCGCCCTCCCGGGAGGGGGAGGCGGCGGCAGAGGCGCGTTGGGCGTGGGGGGCGCCTGGAGGCTGCTGGCCTGCTCGCTCTCGGCCTCGAGCTTCTCCTGCGCGGCGAGGTGCGGCCTCCTCCACGGCCTCCTCCGCCCCATTCAGTGTCCTCCTCCTCCTCCTCCTCCTCCTCCTCCTCCTCCTCCTCCTCCTCCTCCTCCCCCTCCCCTACCTTGTCCTCCTCTTGTTCGTGACTCTCCTCCTCATCCTCATCCTCCTCTTCCTCCGCATCCTCCTCCTCCTCCTCCCCTTCCTGGTCCTCCCCTCCCTCGTCCTTCTCGGCCGCCTCCTCCAAGCCTCCTCCACATTCCCCAGGCAGTGGTTGCTCTCACGTAGTGGCTCTTACTCGGGTTGCACAAAGAACTGGGTGGGTGTGGCGAGGGCTCGCCTGGAGGGCGGCAGCGGGCGCCTCGTGGGCGCCACAGTGCTCACTCCATGTAGACTCCAGCACATCGGCATTGCCCACACCACATAGGTTGCACCACATGGGCTGCACCACGCGGATTGCACAACAGCTTGCACACACATGGCTTGCACAACATCAGCTGCACCACCCAACTTGCGCAATCTGGCTCAGACTAGATAGGTCGCACCACGTCGCTTGCACCACATAGCTTGCACAACACAGCTTCGATACCATAGCGTACACCACATAGCTCGCACCACGTATGCACTGCATACATTGCGCCACATCTATTAGGTCTACGATGACAACCAGATGCTGGTAAGCCGTCCCTATCGCACCACCAAGCGTGTCCGCAGGCTGGGCTGGGCGTTTCATTCTTCGGGTCAGAATATCGGCCTGAGCCGAAACACTTCCAGCAATCACACAAAATGGGTGCTGGTCGTTTTCGACATGCGGCTCATGATTGTCCGTTGTCTTCCGAACGTGGCCCTCGCCAGAGCACCGTGCACATTCGACGTCTAAAAATCTCCAGCAGATCACAAGCAGAGGCCAGCACGCTCTCGAACCGAAAGGGGCTCTCGCGACTCGCCCGGGACTTCCTCGAAACGTTACCCAGACGGGGCGGCGGCTCCTCTTCTAAATGGGGCTCGCGCCTCCACAACAGCTGCACGGATGCAAGGCAGCTCCTTTTCCAACGGGGCTTCCGCTGAGCACGTCCATCGCTGTTAGAGGCCTCCTAGATGGGGTCTGAGTAGATAGGGTCGAAGGGTCGCGCCGCATCGGCAATGCATCGCAGATGTATCGGCGCGGCGATGCATCGGCAATGCATCAGCGACGTCGGTGATGCATCGGCGACGTCGGCGTGGGGACACACGGTCTCCACGTTGAGCCGCATCGTCGATACACCGACGATCCGGCGCGATCCTCCGACCCCATCAATTCGGACCCTATCTAGGAGGCCTAGAACTTAACCTTAGGTCGGGCATGTCCCCCGACAGGCGGATTCTGCATGAAAAAGAAAAAGATAGTCAATCACACATTCAGATGCTCAAACTTTGTCAAGAATCGTCCCCAGACCATGTGTGGGCTGTCTTTGAATATTCCTCCTGTAGGGGGACGCGCCCGACTTGAAACACACACTCTTGTCGCATCCTTCGTGGCTCGAGCCATGGACGGCCGTGCAGGTCCAACCGGAGCTCCCCGCCCGAGCTGTGGGCCCGCGGGGCGCTTCGTCTTGCAAGAGGTGGAGGCTTCGCGCAAGCAAGCAAGAATCACATCCGCCACCGTGCCCTTGAGGCACGAGTCAACCTCCTCCTCCTCCTCCTCCTCCTCCATCCTCCTCCATCCTCCTCCATCCTCCTCCATCCACCTGCTCCTCCCCCTCCTCCTCCTCCTCCATCCTCAATCCTCCTCCTCTTCCTCCTCCTCGCCCTGCTCCTGCATCTTCCTCCTCCTCCATCCTCCTCCTCCTCCGCTTCCTCCTCCTCCTCGCCCTGCTCCTCCATCTTCCTCCTCCTCCTCCTGCTCCTTCTCCTGCTCCTCCATCCTCCTCCTCCTCCTCCTCCTCCTCTCCTCCTCCTCCTCCTCCCTCCTCTCCTCCTGCTCTCTCCTCCTGCTCCTCCATCCTCCTCCTCCTCCTCCTCCTCCTCCTCCTCCTGCTGCTGCTGCTCACGGCGGACCTGGTCGTAGACCTGAAGCCGTCCTTCCCCTGCTCCTCCTCCTCCTGCTCCTCCTCCTTCTCCTCCTCCTCCTCCTCCTCCTCCACCTCCTCCTCCCTCCTCCTCCTCCTCCTCCTCCTCCTCCTCCTCCTCCTCCTCCTCCTCCTCCCTCGTCCGTCACCGCAAGAATGGCCTCAGGTCCGTGGCCGAATCCCTTAAGCCCCAGTCCTCAATCCTGGGGATGCTTTGCGGGGCCTGGGCCCTGACTTCACACATCCTCTGGGGCTCGTCGCGTGCCTCCTGGGCCCCGTCGTGTTGTGGCACGTGACAGGCCAAGAGGGTCCCAAGAGGCCCCCAAGACGGTCTAAGAGGGCCCGAGTCGTCGAAAGACCGTTCCAAGACTCTAAGATAACCTCAAGACGGCCCAAGATGCCCCCCGAATGCCTCAAGAGGCCTCCAAGAGGCCTTCTAAGAGAGCCCCAACAAACAAATAATTGATGTTCGCGAAGCTCTTCAACGATATTTGCCCTCGCGCCGTTTCGGCTTCCCGACGCTCCAAGACGGCCCAAGAGGCCCCCAAGATCGCCACACTACGGCCCAAAAGGCCTCCAAGAAAGCCCCAAAACGGCCCCAGATGCCCCAAGACGGTCCAAGAGGCGCCCAAGACGATTTGAGGGGCCCCCAAGGCGGCTCAAAGAGGAGCCCAGCTGGTGTGGCCGAGACAGTTCGAGCCCTTGGCTCCGAGATGCCCCCAGGAGGCAACCAGGAGGCCCCTAGAGGTCCCCCCCAAACCCCCAAGAGGCCACAAGAGGCCCCCGAGAGACCCCCCAGAAGCCCCAAGAGGCCCCCAGCAGGCTCCCAAGAGTCCCACGACTGCCCCCAAGAGGCCTCCGAGAGCGCTCCGAAGAGGCCCCAAGAAGCGGACCCACAACCCAGGCACGGCGGCGGGATGGGCCGAAAGCGATTAGATCCGCCGCCCCCTGCTTGCAGGGGTGCACGGCGTGCTGGACGATTCAGGTTTTGGTTGTGGTTCTTTTTCTACAAGAACTCCCCAGTGGGCTCCGGCACGTCCCGCCGGGGTCCCGGGAGGAAGCCGAAAACACCTCAATCCGGAAAAAAATCCTCCAAAAAACGGCCGTTTCGCTCGGGACATCCTCAAAAAATCGCGAAGATGGCCCAAGATGGCCTCCAAGTCCGCCCGAGATGGTCCAAGACGGCCTCCAAAACGGCCCAAGAGAGTCCAAGACGGCCCAAGACGGCCCAAGAGGCCCCCCAGAGGCCTCCCAGACGGCCCAAGAGGCCTCCAAGAGGTCCTCCAGGAGAGTCCGAAGAGGCCAAAATCATTGATTTTCCCTTGGTTTTTGAAGGATTTTGGCATTTGCGCCTTTTCGGCTCTCCGACGGCTCAAGACGGCCCAAGAAGCCCCCAAGATCGCCCAAGAGGCCCCCAAGAGAGCCCCATGATGGCCCAAGTGGCCTCCAAGATGGCCCCTAGAGGGCCCCAAGAGGGCCCAAGAGGCCTCCAACACGCCCAAGATGGCCTCCCAGACGCCCAAGATGGCCTCCAAGACGGCCCTGGAGCATTCCAAGCGGGCCCCAAGTCGGCCCATAGAGGCCCCCAAACGGCTTCCGACGGCTTCAGACGTGCCAGGAACCCACCAAGATGGCCGAAGTTGGCTCGAAGCTGGCCCGAGACGGCCCAAAAAGCCCCAAAGATCGCCCAAAGCTTGCCCAAGAGGCCTCCAAGACGGCCAAGATGACCTTCAAGATGCCCACGTGTTCCCCGAAGGCTTTCCAAACCGATTCGGGGAACACGTGGTCCGATAGCTTGGCAGGTCTGGCCTCCAACGTTCGGCCACATAGGCGCTTCCAAAAAGGCAGGGGGCGGCGGTGATTCGCCGTAGGCGTCTTCGATACGGGACCCGTGAAAATGAAACGCCTGAAGGGAGGGTGCGGTGTGTTGCAGCATCGCTGATACATGTTGGGTTTACCCTAGTCCTCCTCCTCCTCCTCCTCGGCTTGCTGTAAGGCCACGGAGTTCGGAGCTTATATTGATATTGGACCGAGAAAAGAAGCGATGGAACACATGAAACGCATGCACGTGCAGATGAAGAGGGGGAGCCACGACCCGCAATCCACTGGCCACCTCCGCGCCCCCACACAGGAGAGATGGGTGGTCAGCCGTGTCATCCATCGTCCCTGTGAGCCATGCGGTCGTTGGCCAGGTGCAGGTCGGCGAACGGATCAAGCGGCACAAGGAAGGGAGACGTCCGTTCACGAACGATCCACACTCGCGCATCCGATATTCCTCCTCCTCCTCCTCCTCCTCCTCCTCCTCCTCCTCCTCCTCTCAATCATCATCATCATGATCATTATCATCATCATCATCAGCAGCAGCATCATCATCACCATCAGCATCATTATCATCACCATCATCATCATCAGCATCAGCATCAGCATCAGCATCAGCATCAACATCATCATCAGCATAATCGTCATCACCGTCATCATCATCAGCATCATCAGCATCATCAGCAACATTATTATCATCATCATCAGCAGCATCAGCATCGCCATCATCATCACCAGTATCAGCATCAGCATCATGACATTGTCAGCATCATCATCAGGATCATCATCATCATCATGCCCATCACCCGCCTCCGTCTGCACGACTTTCACATCCCCGCCGCTCCCCACACAACCTTCCCCCCACACATGCACCCTCATCCACCCACAAGTTATCCATCATCCCTTCTGTCTCCCACGCCCGGTGCCCGTTGCTCCTGCCATCCTCCTCTTTCCCACTTCCATCTCCCTTTCGTCGTCGCCTTCCTCATCCTCATCCTCCCTCCTCTTCCCTTTTCCCACCTCCTCTCCCCCCCTCCCCGCATCCTTCACTCTCTTCCCAGTGCCCGCCCGAAATCTCCCCTCCCCATTCCCTTTGCTGACCTGCTCCGCCGCTCCACCCCGACAACGCCCCTGCCCTGGCTCCGTGAAGGCATCTGCCCCCCCCCGCCCCTTCCAGCGCCCGGCACCACGACCGAACGGCCAGGCCATCTCCTCCTCCTCCTTCTCCTCCTCCTCCTGCTCCTCACTCCTCCCCCTCCCCCTCCCCCTCCCCCTCCGCCTCCACCGCCTCCACCGCCTCCACCGCCTCCACCGCCTCCTCCTCCTCCTCCTCCTCCTCCTCCTCCTCCTCCTCCTCCTCCTCCTCCTCCTCCCCTTCCTCCTCCTCTCCTCCTCCTCCTCCTCCTCCTCCTCCTCCTCCTCCTCCTCCTCCTCCTCCTCCTCCTCCCCCATACAGTTTCCTTATACATAACTTCTCCCTGTCGCACCCCGAGGCCAGTTTTTAGGGCGGGCTGGGCGTTTCGCCTGGGACTTTCTCACACATGACCCTGAAACTGAAACATTGGCAACCGTTTCACAGATGGAGGGCGGGTCGTTTTCAAAATGTGGCTCTCGCCTGAGCGCCGCGCACATTCGGTGTAAACAGTTGCAAGAGTTGCACCGGTTGAGGGCGTGTGGTTGTCAAATCGTGGCTCTCGCCTGAGCGCCGAGCACATTCGTTATTAAACATGTGCAAGAGTTTCACCGATTGAGGGTGTCAAAATGTGGCTCTCGCCTGAGCGTCGTGCACATTCGATTTTAAACATTTGCAACGAGTTTCACCGATTGAGGGCGGGTCGTTATCAAAATGTGGCTCTCGCCATAGCGCGGCGCACATTCGGTTTAAACAGTTGCAAGAGTTTCACTGATTGAGGGCGGTTCCTTCTCAAGATGTGGCTCTCTCCTTAGCACCGCACACATTCGCTTACAACAGTTTCAAGAGTTTCACGGAACCCATCATCAACGTACCGTACATTTGTTTGCGAAGGATTTAGGATCACGCGGCTGCAACATTTACACTGATTCTCTGTGTTGAAGTCCTAGGAATGGCGTTCTGTCATGATTCAGGAACGTCAAGACGCAAAAATTATATTGGTCCGTGGCGTTGGAATCTCGAGAACAATGTTTGGGCATGATTCAGGGTCTTCAAACGGGTATCTTCCAACGACGCAGTTCCATCAATGGAAATGAACCGTTGTAGAGGCCTATGAAGAGGGAGCTTGGAGGGAGGGTTTACTCCAACATCGTTGATGACTCTTGGGCTTACACTGGTCCTACTCCTCCTCCTCCTCCTCCTCCTCCTCCTCCTCCTCCTCCTTCTCTCATCTTCCTCCTCCTAGTCCATGTCAAGAGCGGGGCCTGCAGAGACTGCTTCTGCTCCGTGAGCTTCGTCAGGGTCTCTGTGGCCATCTTGTTCTCGGCCTGGTCACCAAGGCGCCCATCCACGCACCCAGCCTCCGGAAACACACGCTGAACTCGCGCAAGACTCTGTCTCCATCCAAGCACTCCTCCCCATCCCCACTCCTCCCTCATCCTCCTCCGACGCGTGCGGGTGTGCGTGCATTGAATTGTGTGCACGTGTATGCGAAAGGTTGGACGCAATCAGCTCTAACTAGCGTGCCCCGAAATTGCTCCCCGCGACTGTGGTGTCACATCGCGGGCCTTGGTGTTGGTCTTGCCCTTGCCCCTGGCCCAGGGCAGAGGGTGCCTGGAGGGGGAGTTCCGGGTGTCCTCCCAGTGCTGACTGGGGTCCCTTCTGTCGCTCCTCCCTCCCTGTCTCTTCCTCCTCCTCCTCCTCCTCCTCCTCCTCCTCCTCCTCCTCCTCCTCCTCCTCCTCCTCCTCCTTTTCTCCTCCTCCTCCTCCTCCTCCTCCTCCTCCTCCTCCCTCCTGCAGCTGGTGCCGTCGGCCCGCGCCCGCCCGTCCTTCGTCGCCCGCGCGAGGGCCATTGGTGAAGTGAGTCGGGCCTGTCCTTCTACAGGGGGGATCTCCCAAAACTGGTCAAGCACATAGGGGGACGATGTTTGCAGCGACTCTCTGGCCAGTTTGGGCTCTTCTCGGACCACTTTCGATGTTTCGGCCACCGTCCGCCCGCAGGGGCACACGCCCGGCCGAAGGCCCCACGGCCTCCAGGCTCTGCGCCTGGCGGGGGGGGGGGGGGGCCGCGGGGGCGGAGGGTCGACCAGCTCCCTCGCCCCCGCCGAGCCCGTACCGTCAGGCCGGGCCTGTCCGCCTACAGGGGGATTGTGGGCGAAAGATCAAACAGAGTCAAACATGTATACCAACAAATGCTCAAACATACGATTTACCTAACAGCGTTTGCTGATAGGTTTCTAGTAGGCTCAAAAGAGAGCAGCAGATGACTCCACAGCGGGGTCGGGGCGGCATCCGGGGAGCTGTGTCCGAACTCGTGTCCGAACTCGTTTTTCGCAAACAGTCACACACTTCGTGCTCTTCGACCTCCCAGAACTCCATTCCTGGGCCACATTCTGAATGCCCGGAGCCAACTGTAGGCCACTTCGTGCTCTTCGACTTCCCAGAACTCCATTCCCGGGCCACATTTTGAATGCCCGGAGCCAACTGTAGGCCACTTCGTGCTCTTCGACTTCCCAGAACTCCATTCCCGGGCCACATTTTGGATGCCCGGAGCCAACTGTAGGCCAGGCCACTTCTTCGTGCTCTTCGACTTCCCAGAACTCTATTCCCGGGCCACATTTTGGATGCCCGGAGCCAACTGTAGGCCACTTCGTGGTATTCGAGTTCCCAGAACTTTATTCCTGGGCTGATTTTGATGCCCTGAGCCAACTGTAGGCCACTTCGTGGTCTTCGAGTTCCCAGAACTCCATTCCCGGGCCACATTTTGAATGCTGAGGCAGGCTGATGCTGAGGCTGAGGCAGGCTGAGGCTGAGGCAGGCTGAGGCTGAGGCCGAGGCTGAAGGCAGACTGAGGCTGAGGCTGAAGCAGGCTGAGGCTGAGGCTGAGGCTGAGGCAGGCTGAGGCTGAGGCTGAGGCAGGCTGATGCTGAGGCAGGCTGAGGCTGAGGCTGAGGCGGATGCAGGCTGAGGCTGAGGCAGGCTGAGGCTGAGGCCGAGGCTGAAGGCAGACTGAGGCTGAGGCTGAAGCAGACTGAGGCTGAGGCTGAGGCAGGCTGAGGCTGAGGCTGAGGCAGGCTGATGCTGAGGCAGGCTGAGGCTGAGGCTGAGGCTGATGCAGGCTGAGGCTGAGGCAGGCTGAGGCTGAGGCCGAGGCTGAAGGCAGACTGAGGCTGAGGCTGAAGCAGGCTGAGGCTGAGGCTGAGGCAGGCTGAGGCTGAGGCTGAGGCAGGCTGATGCTGAGGCAGGCTGAGGCTGAGGCTGAGCTGATGCAGGCTGAGGCTGAGGCAGCTGCAGTCTGAGGCTGAGGGCGGAGGCGAGACTGAAGGCAGACTGAGGCTGATGAAGGCTGAGGCTGAGGCAGGCTGAGGCTGAGGCCGAGGCTGAAGGCAGACTGAGGCTGAGGCTGAAGCAGGCTGAGGCTGAGGCTGAAGCAGGCTGAGGCTGAGGCTGAGGCTGAGCTGATGCTGAGGCAGGCTGAGGCTGAGGCTGAGGCTGATGCAGGCTGAGGCTGAGGCAGGCTGAGGCTGAGGCCGAGGCTGAAGGCAGACTGAGGCTGAGGCTGAAGCAGGCTGAGGCTGAGGCTGAGGCAGGCTGAGGCTGAGGCTGAGGCAGGCTGATGCTGAGGCAGGCTGAGGCTGAGGCTGAGGCTGATGCAGGCTGAGGCTGAGGCAGGCTGAGGCTGAGGCCGAGACTGAAGGCAGACTGAGGCTGAGGCTGAAGCAGGCTGAGGCTGAGGCTGAGGCAGGCAGGCTGAGGCTGAGGCTGAGGCAGGCTGATGCTGAGGCAGGCTGAGGCTGAGGCTGAGGCTGAGGCTGAGGCTGAGGCTGATGAGGCTGAGGCTGAGGCAGGCTGAGGCTGAGGCGAGGCTGAAGGCAGGCTGAGGCTGAGGCTGAAGCAGGCTGAGGCTGAGGCTGAGGGCAGGCTGAGGCTGAGGCTGAGGCTGAGGCTGATGCTGAGCTGAGGCAGGCTGAGGCTGAGGCTGAGGCTGAAGCAGGCTGAGGCTGAGGCTGAGGCTGAGGCTGAGGTGAGGCAGGCTGATGCTGAGGCAGGCTGAGGCTGAGGCTGAGCTGATGCAGGGTGAGGCTGAGGCAGGCTGAGAGGCTGACTGCTGACTGTGAGGCTGAATGCTGACTGCTTGACTGCGACTGACTGCGACTGTCATCGCGAATGCGACTACGACTGCGAGAAAATGCAGAAGAACAGCAGAATTCTACAACTGGATTATCATCTGAATCTCAAGGGGAATGCTTCCAGATATGCTCCTACACATCGCTGTTAGGTTGCTTTGCCGGGATAATTTTGTTTTAAAAAAGTCCCCTGACTATTGTGTAACTATTTATGAATGAGCGCCGTATCCGAGGCGTCCGCGAGCGGGTTGAGGTGGCGTGCTACACGCCAGCTGCCGTTCAAGTGAGCGAGCTCCACGGCCGTGGCCTGTTGACACAAAAGGTCCAGGGCCTGCAACACATCCCTCTCCAAGAGGGCGTCGATGGCCGTGAGTTGCGTGGGTTCATCGCCTCGCCTGCGCCGGGCACGAGGACGTTCGTGAAATAGCGGAGGACGATCGGGTTGAAGGCTCCGCCGTCGTCCCCCTTCTGCTTGGGGAGCAACGCCCTGAGCTGGCCGAGCATCTTCGTAGTGATCTCGCCGGGCTTGTCCTCCAGCATGCAACGAGCAGGCTGGCGCTCCGAGGTCCCGGCGCCGCCAAGAGGCCGCTCTCCCTGGGAGGAGCTGCGGCCGCCTCTGCGCCAGGGGCTGCGAGAGTCGCTGCTGCGATCACGTCGCCTCCTCCCCCTCCCCCTCCCCCTCCCCCTCCCCCTCCCCCTCCCCCTCCCCCTCCTCCTCCTCCTCCTCCTCCTCCTCCTCCTCCTCCTCCTCCTCCTCCTCCTCCTCCTCCTCCTCCCTCTGCCCCTCGAGCGTCCCTCACTCCGCCGGTCAGCCTCGGGCCGGTGGCTGTGGCCACGGCTGGGAGCGCGGCCGGAGCCGTCCGCGTCGCGCGCGCCCACGGCGACGCTCAGAGCCTCGCACGGGCTCGTCCGCTTCGGGGGGCGAGCGGCGCGCACGGGCCAGCGCCAACGCCCGTAGCCGTCCGCGGCGCCACCCCCCCTCTCGGTGTGTCGCGGGGCCTTCGCCACCAGCGGCCAGCCGGCCACCTAAAAACGGAGCCAGGGCCTCCGCGCTTCCCAAGCGGCCGCCCGCCATCTTGGCGCCGAGGCGGTTCTTGAGGTCCGTCATGGCGCTGGCTGAGCTCAGAGCCCTCGCCCCCACGACAAGCCGACGATATATATACCTCCTCCCGCCTCCCAGGGCGCACCCTGGGGTCCGGGGCCATCCCTGGCGGCTGCACTCGCCCCGCTGGACACGCACGGCCGCGGACGGCCGAGAGGGTCGACGTCGGTCGAGGGCTGGCCTTTACAGATCTGGAGCTCTCCCTCATGGAGGGGTCTCCACATGCCAATGTGGATTGCATCTCTCCCGGGGATGCTGTAGCCGCACTTCTTGGCGGAGTCGCCGCCGAAGTGAAGCGCAGGGCTGCGCTGCAAATCGCTGAACTGCTTGTAGTAGCAGTTCTCGTCGGCGGCCTTCTCCCCTTCGAGCCACTCGGCGCAGTAAGCAGCCCCATGTACTCCTCTGCCCAGTTTCTCCCAAAGCCTGAGACAACCTTTGAAACCGCTGGGCAACCGGACGGCCACGCAGTCCCCAGCCTCAGGGGTCTGGCCGTCAGCCCAGCACCACCCATGACACTCAGCGGCACCTGGGCCCGCATTCTCGTGAACGACCACCTTGTTGCCCAGCCTCCTGGAGTCGCTCGGCGGCCGAACCGAAGCGAGCGCGCCTCGGGGCCGGAGAGGCGGCCGCTCCTCCTCGACCACGCGACAGGGGGTCAGCGCGCCCTGGGGGCCAGCGAGGGAGCGCCTCCTCCTCCCCCTCCCCCTCCCCCTCCTCCTCCTCCTCCTCCTCCACCTCCTCCTCCTCCTCCTCCTCCTCCTCCTCCTCCTCCTCCTCCTCCTCCTCGTCCTCCTCCCCCTCCTCCTCCTCGGTCGGCCGCCGCCCGCGGCAGCTGGGCGGCGAGCGGCACGGCGCATCGACGCTCCGCGCCTGCCGGAGAGCTGCGAGGCAATCCCCGGGCGGGGATCGCCGAACCCTCGGCTCAGCACGCACCGCACTCGAGCCGCGAATGGCTCCGGACCGCTGCGGCATCCCTGCATGCTGCAAGTGCTCGGGGGCGAATGCATGTGGCATCACGGCGGCTCGTTCCCGCCGTGTCCTCCTTGAGCCAAGCGGCTTGAGCCAAGCGGCTTGAGCCAAGCATGCC